TATATATATATATATATAGAGAGAGAGAGAGAGAGAGAGAGAGAGAGAGAGAGAGAGAGAAACGGCTAGGCGGACGGACAGACAGACAGAGACAGAAAGCGTGGCGGCAAGTCAAAGACTTAAGTTATGTTTCGGAACCTTTGCCCCTCCCACTCGTGCCTATCGACTATGATTACGTTACATTAGCGCTGCAATCATGCCGCCGACATCGGGGGTCGCGCGGCTCCGATTGAAGTCATTAAAGCCGAATGTTTGGGTTTTCTGGTTGAAGACAATAACTAGGACGCGATCGCGCGTCTAAACATTTATATCGAGCGGAGAGAAAATTTCCCGCGAGAAAGAAATTCAAAAGAAGTGTGCGCGGCAGTCTGCCGCGGCCGTGTTTTACAATACAATGTTTGCATATAGATGCGCTCATATGGTCTATGTCCTCCAGGGTACTGCCGGAACGTACCCTGGGTACGGTCCGGTATACCGGAACGTACCCTGGTAACTATTTGATATGGTTAGGGTTAGGGTTAGGGTTAGGGTTAGGGAGTGGGCGTAGGCGACTCCCTAGACTCGTTAGTAGAGTAGGCGAGTCACGGTCCGGCATATTAGATAGTACCAAGGTACGGTCCGGTACCCAGGGTACGTTCCGGCAGTACCCTGGGGGACATAGACCCTCTCAGCTATAGCTGCAGCTGTACGCGTGCGGGTACATGCATTGCCGAGTCGGAGATACGAGGCTATTCTTCCCAACTCCCTGCTGGTATTTTACATTTCCCGACCTCTCGAAATAATATCGTGTTTATTTTCCCAGTTCACTGCCAATAGAAGGATCGGGTTTCCACAGGAAGCGTGTAGAACAAGCGGTGTTTATGGCGGTGTCGCGTTCTTGTTACAAAGTTAACTAGGGTACTATATAATGCAGCAAAAAAAGCGTTTACCTCTGCACTGCCTGAAGGGTGTGTACGAACAGGGGAGACTGTAGTACAAGAGAATTCCTTATGCACATGTTAATCCTCGCCTTCTTCTGATGTCTAGCATTCTGTTTCCATCTGAACAGTAGAGAAAACCAATGTTCAAAGATGTTTTTTAACATTAATTTGCAATTATTCTTAGCTAAGGTGCGTACAGCCAGGGGCCGCTGTCAGAAATAAAATTAGTCTTAACATTAGTCTTAACATTATAGTCGTAAGTGCTATCTTAGCATTAACATTAGCATTAGCATTAACATTAGACTTAACTTTACGATGTTTCTGACAACGGCCCCAGGCTGCGATTGAAGCTACGCCTGTTACTGAATTGAACTTTTCTAGCCATCTATTCATATCACGATACTCGTTATCCTTTACACGATAATAATGTACATCGTGGAGGAAAGCATCTTCATAAATCGTACGTGAAGAACGACTTCCTGATAGAGAAATCTCGGAAGAAGGAGAGTTGGAGCAGGCCATGAACGATGACTGCCTCCCTCTGCCACTCAGCGAGAGAAAGCTTTCCCAGCGGCTTTCTTCCTGATGTGACGTGGAGAACCCCGTACGCGGAGAAGACAAAATGTTCCGCATCAGCCTGCAAATAAGACTTATTTATTCGAGTGACGCTGTAAGATAGAAGTGGTCGACATACGCGTACTTTAAAACTACTACGTTATTTCACAGATTTCCGCCCATGTACAGGCTTCATTTTTTCGCATACGTGCGTGGAGTGCGCCCACGCATGTGCCTGCGTTTACCTCCGTGCATGGACGCGTGCGTGTGTGTGTGTGTGTGTGTGTGTGTGTGTGTGTGTGTGTGTGTGTGTGTGTGTGTGTCGCGCGCGCGCGCGCGCGTGTGTGTGTGTGTGTGTGTGTGTTGTTGGTTGGGTGTGTGGCGTGTCTAGTGCGTGCGTCCGTGTGTGTATGCTGTGCCGCACGCTGCGGTTTCTGTGTGGTGTGTGCTGTGTCGTGTGTCTGTGTGGTGTGTGTGCTTGCGTGGTGGTGTGTGGTGTGTGTGTGTGTGTGTGTGTGTGTGTGTTGTGTGTGTATGCACGCTTTGTGTGTTGTATGCGTGTGTGTGTGTGGTGTGGTGTGCGCGCGCAAGCGTGTTTGTGTGTGTGTGTGCTGTCTAATATATATGCGGCGCGTTGTGTGTGTGTATGCTGTGGTGTGCGTGTGTATGTGTTGTGTGTATGGCGTGTGTGTGTGGCGTGTGGTATGTGTGTGGTGTGTGCGCGTGTGTGTGTGTGTATGCAAATTCCAAATTAACACGTCATATATTTTATATTCATGAATGTCTGCGTGCGTGTTTTCGAAGCGTACGAGAGGTGTTTGTGTGCGTGGACCGCGTTGACATGTGCGTTTAGAATGTCAAGGTCTCTCACTCCCCCCTATGCTCCCGTCTTGCCTCCTCTTCTCGGTTACCTACAATACTACGATAGACCTGTAAAATTAAAAAACTGTTAATTTTGCGCTTCATCAAAATTTATCAGCCGCATGGCATAATGCGGAGTGCACGGTACTACGTACACGTGCACAATCCAAACGGAGCATTTTGAAGAATCTATTAGGGCTGCGTTAAGCCCAGTGCGTGTTAGGATACATACGGAAGAGCAATACATCCCCACGCACGGATTTGTCAACAAGCGCGCGCACATTCACGTATTACACGCGTCTTGCTAATCGGGTGAAAAGACTCCAAATGCGGCGTTTTCCCTATAATAGCTCTGACAATACACACGGCGCCGAGGAGGCAGATATAGAGCGGCGTGATTTTTCTCGAATGTTTCTCTGTAAGAGCGCCTTCTGCGACTTGCAAGAGTTTCTCTGACGTGTCACATGTCACATGATAAGCTGTGTCACGTGTTCTTCATGTCGGAAGAATTGTAATCGCTTTACACGAAAATAACCTTGTGTCTAACTTCGTTCCTTGCGCGTTTATCCCGCCAACCAAATTTTCTTCGTAATCGCTTGAAATTGTGAATTTAAGCGTATTTGAATTATTCATGTCGCTCGATATTCAGGTTTTACGAAACGATTGAATCGCATAATATTATTTTCAATAGAGTTTGTTCTCAAAGTGTGTGTGTGTGTGTGTGTGTGTGTGTGTAGTGTGTGTGTGTGCGCGCGTGTGTGTGTGGGTGTGTGTGGTGTGTGTGTGTGTGTGTGTGGTGTGTGTGTGTGTGTGTGTGTGTGTGGTGTGTGTGTGCGTGCGCGTGCACAGTGTGTGTGCGTATATGTGTGCGCCGTGTGCGCGAGTATTAGCGTTTGCGCCGCCGCTGTACGCTACGCGTATATAGAGGCGGATTTCACTGCTACCCGATGATCGCCCCTCCTAGTTAACGTCTTTATGTACCCATGTTATTCAGGCGCTGAAAAGGGTCTATGTCCCCCCAGGGTACCAAAGGCAGTGTAACACAGGATTTGTATTCCAGGGGATAGGGTCTAACCGTAACGCCGCAAACTTGCGAGCACGCGAAGGGGGGGGGTGCCGGGGGGCGCTCCCCCCCAGAATCTTTTCTTGAAATTTAGACCCCGTTAGGATGCGTTTCTGCGCGAGCGGGGGGGGGGGTCCGGACCCCCTGGACCACGCCTTACACGCCCCCTGGGGTATGCCGGAACGTAGCTGGTACTAATCTACTATCGGCCGACTGTACCTCGCCTATTCCACTAACGGAGTCTAACGGAATTCGCCTACGCTACTCCCTGTAACCCAACCGCTAAAACTTAACCTAACCATGATTCAATAGTTAATCCAAGTGTACTTCGCGGTATACCCGGACCGTAACCCAGGGTACGTCGGCAGTACCCTGAGGAACTAGACCCTATGAGCTTTATTAGCCATCCCACAATGACGACATCCGCTATATCCTTCGTGAATAACCTGTCATGAATAAATTACATTGATAGTAGTAATATATATATATATCCGTGATATTATTTTGCACAGGCTGTGCCATGAGACGCCCATCCTCTAAAATCGAATAACTCGTGCTTGCTTACGCGGCTCTGCTGTATCGTAGTCTTTTGTTAGTTGATTTACTTGGCTATTACGCGGCCAATTTCAACTGGTTGCTTTGGGCACAGCGCTTCAAGTTTGCCGCGTGGATGTTTTACGAGGCGCGGCTTTATCAGCGTGACACGCGAGACTTGCAATAAATTGTATGAATAATCGGTAATAAATATCAGTGGTCACTTCGTCGTGCTGATAACGCCGCGTGACCACGTCAATGCGTCTTTTTATATGTCGCGTTACGACTCAAATTGACGGCAATTCAAAGACGGGTGATCATTAATATGGGAATATGGGAATAATATAATACATCATATGGGAAGTCGACATTAGCCGTACAAAAACTACACGACAATTTTAAATTCACAACCACAAACGAAGACGCATAAGCTGTTTTCTCCGCGAATAACGGCCGCTCGCAAAACAGCGCGGTAGCGAGTATTGCTTCAAATGCATAGTTAGTATATACCGGCTATGAGTGTTTCTGTAAACGCTGCTAGGATGGTAAAAGTGTACGGCGTCCTTCTTAAGCAGGTATTGGCTAATGAATAGCCCGCCTGCGCACGGAGAGAGAAGCTATGAGAAGCATTCATGGTTTCAATATAAAAGTCATTATACTACCGTTTTCTCTTTCTTCCCATAGTGTAGCATAGAAGTACGCGTGTGTCCTCGTGCTTAATCCCCCTCCCATCTAGCCGCCTCATCTCAATGTTCTTCTCTCTCGCCTCACTCCCTACTCATCCATTGTCCCATTCCTCTATCCATCCACTGGTCCGTTCGGTACATCCATAACGCTCCATCCTAGTCCATCTACCCACTACCCATCCATCCATCATGCCAGTCCAATCATCCATCATCCATGCCATCATCATCCATCCATCCCATCGCATCCCATCCATCCATCATCCATCAAATCCATTCCCATCCATCATCCATCCATCCCATGCCATAACCATCCATCCATCCATCCATCCATCCATCCATCCATCCTCCATCCATATCCATTCCATCCATCCACCATCCATC